TATATGTATATATATATATAAGGGTGAAATATATATTGGTTAAAGAAAATGCATATGTTTCTTATAGTATTCACTATATAAAAGATTCTCAAATGCTTTGTTGACGTTATTTATTGGAACAAACGCAATTTTTATAGAAAAATCTATATCATTGATGTATTTTTCTTTCACAGTAGATAATAGTCTACAGTTTTCGCCAAATACACTGTATGAGATTAAAAAAAGCTGCCCTAGGATAATGGGGACGGGTATAGCCATAAATAATTTAATATACACCTGTAAGCAATGATAAACGATTACTAACGAAAAAACGATTCTGAGCGGAGTTCAATTGATAGTGCTGCTTTTTGAACAATATATATGGTAAAATTTTAATTATTCCAATTCCAAAGTTAAAATGGATCCCGTGTTTTAAAAAAATTCTAACTATTCAACTATTTCAATATTAACAAATGCTACTCTTATGGAATTACAATGTTTTCGAAATAATGATCATTTTGAGTTGAAATAGAACAGCTAGCCTTTTGTTATCTCAAGAATCAGAAATATATCTACAAGATTAGGTGGTGAACAAACTTTAATTGTGAGAAACGTTGCAACTTATTACAAAATATATATTTATTTTCCTTTATTGGATTTAATTATAAATGACATATCTACAAATAAAATTTGAAGAAAACCACTTGCAAATACTTAACGCTTTTTGGAATTGTTTAAGTACCAGAAATAATAGGGATGAAGATACGTTAGAAGTTTATAATACCTACAATATTGAACACAATGATTTATAGGCAGAATTAAAACTATTTGGAAAAATGTGTTCAACAAATTCCTGAAAATTTTGAAGCCCATTTTAATTTTCATTTGGAAAAAGACTTAGTAAGTACTAGGTTCATTTGACAATATATACACTATGTATCACATTTTTCTATCAATACCAATGAGTTATGCCTCGAGTGAACATTTATTTTCATTTCTTTGTTGTTGCCTCAAAACATTTACGAGAAACAGTATTGGTCAAATACTGAGCCATATGGATATTTTAAGCACACTGAAAAAATGTATAAAATTAATTTTGAAATAATTGTACACCAGTTTAATCTAGACTCAACAGAAAAATAAAGAAGAATACAATAACATAAATATTTAGTTTTAATTTAATAATTGAATCGGAATGTAATTTGTAATACCATTATTAATATAATTATTAATCTCTGGTAGAAAAGTTGTCCACAAAATAAAAAATAAAAAAATAAACATCTTTGTAAAACCATAAACAAATCTAGCAAAAATCATCTAAACAAAGCACATACGTAGATGTTTTTTTATCGGGTAAGAGTGCATATATAATGTTAACTCTTGAGGTGGGCATAAACTAATTAATAAGTTGATTTTTTAAAACTTTTCAACTTAATTAATTAGTTATTTTTATCGCTAACTTATTAACTTAACTAGTTTTAGTTTTCATTGGATAAACTTAACTTTGTATAGTTAATTTCTATATTGAACATTCAGTTAAATTAAAGAGTTAAAGGCGAATTGGTTTTTTTTTTCGAAATTTGAGATTTAATTTTAATTAACTACGATTTAGGCCAGACGCACACCCAAGCATTGCGAAATTATACAAGTTTGGTATATACTAAATAAAACAAACGATAACAATAGTGATATATAGATTCGTAGGGGAGGGGGAATTCTATTCAGTAAATGGGAAGTCTATTGAGAAATCTAACGATAGCTCAGGGTCGATCTAAAATAAATTTTATTCCAAATTGGTAGTTTTTTTTTTAAGCGTCTCAACAATTAAATTCTCACAACGTTGATACAACTAACTATAATTTAAAACGCTTAAGTTTTGAGACTAATAGTGATAGATGTTTGACATTGACGTATATTTATATATTGGTGATCGTGATGTTAATAAGACCAACGATTTTGGGTTTGATTTATAGTTTTTGTTTGTTTTTTTTCCTGTAATATTATAAAATAGTAACTATTCTGTACAACTATTGTACATCAGTTCATTGGTATTAAATTATAGAAATCGAATTGATTAAATTCAGTATTTCAATATAAAATTTACGGAAAATTAAAAAAAGACTTTCATACTCACCAACTAGATCCAAAATACAACAAAAAATATCTCATGACATTTTTAATTGGCGCCAGCTTTATTTAAAAAAAAAAATGTTTACAGGCAGACAATATAAAAAAAAAAAACAAATATCATAGTAAACCAACATATTCCTCGCTCCTTTCAGAATCAAATTTTTACAAATGATTGATTTTGTATAATCAATACACTCACTTTGCACTAACCCATTCAAAACTGTGAACTGAATATTACACGTGAACCTAAATACAAATTAAAATAAAACGTTTTTTGAAATTAGATTTAAAAATAAAACTCAAACGAGTTTGACAATGATTATTTAAAAATAATTATAAAACTTTTAAAAAAAAACTCAGTTTCGCAATTTAAAAAAAAGTTTAGTGTGCAATTTATGTAGGTACCATTTTACTCGTATATTATAGCAGTTTAGCGAGAAAAGTAGGTATTAGGTAAGTAGGTCTTTATATAATATAATGATATGTTTTTTCTCAGAAAATTAATTTTTGGTGTAGGAAATGTAGTCAAAAGTTTCATATTGTCTCTTTATCATTCCAGAAACTACAATATACAGATAATAGTTCAACTTAGAGTTCAAAGTCTGTTTAATTTTCTCGAAAATTGCAAAAAACTTCACCAAAAGTTTTTTGTTGTAAATAAAAGTGTGTTAAATGTTTGAACTTAAAGTATTTCTTTTTAAGAAAGTATAGACATTGAATTTAAATGAGCTCATTTTTCATTAAATATCATTAATAACATACCCGATAACTAAATTAAGTCCGCCGATATCGAATGCAGTACGCAATAATAATCGTTTTGAGTACCTAATAAATAGTATAATTTACGTAGGTATATAATATTATATAGCCGTAAAATAGTAACCTAATACCATTTATTTCATTTATTTATATTATTTCATTACTTTAAATTATTTTATTAGTCATTAAAATAATAAAATGTAAATATTAAGATACGGTTGACAAAAAATAAAATAAAAATAAAAAACAAGAACCTTAATATGCCTACTCAAAAATATATTTACTGTTAATTATATTATATAATCTACTATAGGCACTTATAGTAACTTATAGGCAGTATAGTGTAACGTCTCATCCCTCTGCCACCTTTTAAGTAGCCAAGGACAAGCGTCCAGTGATGATCCGAGGTATGTCTATATACCGGGACCCTAGTCCCGAGACATAGGATTTGTGGAAAATAAGAAAGAAGAAAAAAAAACTGTTTTTTGGGGATACATGTGGTCTTCGTCTACTAACATCAATATATATATATATATATATATGTTATTTAGGTATACTATACAGGATGATTTTTTTATCATAAATCAGCAATTATCTCAGAGGATTTTGAGTTAATTTGATTTCTGTTTTTTCTAATCTTTATGGAATCGTTCAAGCTTAAAGGGGATAGGTTCTTATTTGAAAATCAAAAGTAAACATTTAATTAAGGTATATGGATTAGGAGTAAAAAATTAAAAACGGTTTTAAAATAAAGCTTAAACGATTCTATACAGATTAGAAAAAACAAAAATCAAATGCACTCAAATTCCTCTGAAATGGTGAGAGAGGTGGGGTTGACCGTTGTAGCATTGGTTATCGGCCGTGGCGTTTTCGCACGTCGTGTATTCGTACGGGGAGCATCGAATATAGGTATAACCTTATTGATTGCTATGGACATATAGAGAGGTTCGTTTTTGGACGTCACAATAGAACAGTACCATAGACAGAGGGGCACGTGCCCCACCTCCGAAATCTTTTAAATTCTAAGCGAAGCGTTATTGTTATCCTAAGGGGCCTCAGCAGTAGCGTTTTCTAAGGAGCAAAATATAGGCCATTTTTAATCTCGTCGTTGCCGCCCGGCATCGTTTTGTTAGTCGTAAACGATCATTAGTGTGAATACGTTTCGATGAGTGTACCGTCATTCTCTGCATCATCATCGTAACAAATAGTAGATCGCATCGTTATCACAAATTTATTTTTGAGTTTATTAAAATATTTGAATATTTATATTGTTTTGTATTTTTACCAGATTTACTACTTTAATATATGAAATCTTTATCTATCGGAATCGTATGAGTTTATAATTTCTGTTGTCTGTATGTATCATGTATGATCATGTATGTTGTAAGTTTTAGATCGATTTTAACAAATGAGGTGTCTATGAATTCGTTACTACCTCACGAGTGTCATAAGCTAGTTTAAAAAATTTAAATGGTCCGTACGATGTACAATATTAATATTGTTATAACATGACCATATTACTGTAAATTCTGAGCGTAGCGAAGAACGCATTGGTTATGCAATATTTATTTCTTTTTTTCTTTTGTACTGTATGCAATTTTGTTTTAAAAAATATTGCTCCAAAGTACTGAATATAGTACTTTTTCTGAAAGGAAATTTTCTCTTTTTTGTACTGTAAAAAAGTAAGTTTTTCATTTTCCAAGTAGTACTCAAAATAATAACAATTTACCGGGGAAAAACGTACGATTTCACGATTTATTACGATTTTATTATTTTAAATACTTACGATGATGATTTCTACCAGAAATATTGCATCAACCAAATAACAACTACAACTACGTTTTGTTAGATTTGAGACTATTAGATTTTTTTTTTAGGCAAATAATATAGAATAGAGATAATATTTAAATACCTAATACCTGTACTATAATTATACGTAATAGATATCGTGTATAATATTATAATATTCACATAAATAGAATAAATAATGAGTAATATTTAGTTTAATGTAATATAGTAGTTTAGTGATAGTAATAGTATATACAATAAATATATAAGAATTCAATTTTGAATTTATATTAATACTTTTTTAATGATTTAAACTAGTAATTTTTAATTTATAAACAATTGTAGGATAATATTGCTGAGGCTTTTTTTTCTTGACCTTGAATGATGTAGCCCGGATTTCTGATAGGTCTTCCAGGGTGTTTCGAGTTTACAAATTCAGTCAATAAACAATCGTGATCTTCGAATGTCATTTTCTCAATATAATTCTCATCAATTAGTTTTTGTTTATCACAAAAATACTCAGCACAAGCTACATGACTACTATTTAGTAATCATGATGAGAAGTATTCATAATGTCAATCTTTAAATCACTTGCTGAATGCCCGTTTGATTTTCTGTGACTTATTGCACAAACAATTCCTTTTTTAATACGTAATATATTACTATTTTGTAATTTTCTATGGACTAATTTACCAACTGATCTTTTTGTAAAAATTTCCTTTAATTTATTGCACAGGTTCCTAAGTAAGTGGTTTCTGGATACAACTTTTTCTAATGTTATATTTTTATAAGACCTAAATTCTAATATCTTTTGATAAACACTACTGTCACCTTCTGCTATTAGTTTATGGTACCGCAACTAGTACATTTCTTCGCTTTTTTGAAATCCTTCAACTATTATGGAAACTTCCATGCCTGAGGAGATGCTTGTAACTGGCCAATTTTTTGAACGTTTGTATGGAGATGGTTCACTATTACGTACACACGTCGAACAATATTTATTTCGGATCCCGAGTTACAACACTTTTTAAATTTTATAACCGATAATGGCAGCCTAAAAAAAAATGTTTTGTATATTATATAATTTTATCAAAATAAAATGAAACCTCGATAACTTGAATTGGCCAAACGAAAAAAAAATTCGAGTTATAGAAAAATTGTATATACAATTGATATATTGAATTGGGCCAAAACATTACTTCAAGCTATCGAAAATTTGACTTGAAAACGTTTGAGTTATCGAGGTTCTATTTTATAAATATATTAAATAAAATACTAAAAAAAATCGGGGAACTAGGTAAATCAAAGAGCTAGCCCTACTGTATAGTAAAAGTTGAGTATGCACCGTAAACTAAAAAAAGTTGACTATTAAAGTGTCTTTAAGTAGGACAAAAAGAATCAAAATATTTTGAAAATTATATTATTATGTCTATTATGTCTATTGTCATATAGATGAAAAGGAAGATTGTTCAGGTAAAATTGGCTATATTGTCCGTGTGACCATCATAGTTTGTTGAAATGGAATACTTGTTAAAAACTTCTGCAAAGTACTAATTGTTGGACTTTTGAGTTCTTGTACGGAGAATTTCTAATATACAAATAAAGATACATCATTTTTACAAGAAATTGTATAAGCACTTGGACAATTTTTTTTTTAACAATGTTATGAATTCAATTTTTAACAATATAATAAAATTATAAAGGAACTAATTTATAATAACCATCGTACCCTGGCTGGTGAACAGGACCTTAATGTTTCTTACGTTAACGGGATTCCCCGAGTTCTGAAGTCACGCCGCTCATCCAGCTCTCATCTCAACAACCCTCAATCTGCTGCTCTACCTCCAAAAAACTAGGCTACAGCGGCGTTTCGCAGACCACCAACCAACCATGCGCTAACACCTACGCCTCTCCTTCCTCATTATATATTAATAATAATAATACCTCGATCGATATTTCTAATGTCAAATTTTTAAATAAGTAATGAATTCTATTTACATCTAAAAATTAATTTTATTTTAGATTCCGAGAGTAGAGCGGGAGCTATTGGTTTTACAATGTTGTTTATTTCTTCTTTCTTTGTCTGTGGATACGTTTTTTTCTAGTCAACTTACTCCGATTTTACGAGTAGCAACTTTTCTGAAAGCTTAAGTTTTTAAGATTGTTCTTTAAACAAATAATTGTTTTTATTTTCGACGCTATTTTTTAAATAAAAGCACTTAAGTGGGAAAAAACGTACGATTTCACGATTTCGTTATTTTATAAAAACACGGACAACGTTTTCTATCAGAAAATATAATTTAATTGAAAAATCACAACACACCTTTTTTTTTTCTTTTAGATTTACTTTCTTGCAGTATAATTTCCAAAACTTTTGACCATTTAAGGAATTTTAACTTTTAGTAGTTTTTTTATTGTAATTCAGTTATAAATACACGTAGAGAATTGAAACTGGGAAATAATATTTACTTACTTAGACGTGGTAAAATTTTCAAAATCATTGGATGACTTTTTTTTTTAATAAGTGTTTTGATATCAAATTTAAACAAAATCACAACAGTAGCCGCTCCCAACCCCAGTATCAGCTCTTTTTATTTTTGCGTTGAAAAATTTAAAGATACGATTTTAAACTGCTTTTTCTTACTATATTATAATTATATAAAATTGATATACTAAAATATTAATTAGTTACATAAATACAGATGCAGGGTGGGGCGGTCGCCCCTAAAATATGGTTTAGGGTAGGACTTCTGTGTAGAAATTAAAAAATACTTATAGATAATTTATTTATTTATTTAAATTATTTATCCGTTTTAAATTTTCATTTTTATGCCATATCCATAAAGATGCAATATTACCTTGCAATTTTTTATTTTTTGACGTAAATGGTCTTTTTGCTTTCGTACTGTAATGCCAAATTTTACCCATTATTTGCAAAACAAAAAGAATTACACAAATCTGTCAGATACCTACTTCGAGACTAACATCGAACTGATCAAAGGTCTATTATAATATAAATTTTAATACGATTTATTTTTAATACAATATACTTAATTTGTACGATATAGTTCTGTTTTTGGTCCAACTAGTTTCCTTATATTTTTATTTCTGATGGCACCGCCAACGCAGCGCGCCGGCCACGGCTGCTGACAAAAATACCACGCCGCTTTCATATACCCATGCACATGTCAATAACTCAACAATATAAAATTTACCATATAAATTTTATATAAATTCACTCATTGTTTTGACAAAATTAGAGTTAATAAACTTTTTATGATTTTAATTTTGAAAAAAGATTTGAGTTCAACAAAAAAATGTCTATAGATCGTACGAAAACACTTTTAGTTTTTAAGTTTGATTACAATTATGAATAGATAAAATCCATATTTTTAAGTTTTCACTAACAGTTCATAACAAAATGAGATTAAATTTTTCTAAATGTTTCTTATAGTAGACATTTTTCAGTTGAATTTAAATCTTTTTTCAAAATTCAAATTGGACAACGTCAACTAACTTTAATTTTGTCAACAATTTAGGTCTTTTAAGCTAAAATTGACGGAAGCCTCACTGCTAATAACTAATAACTTTTCTACAAAAATGATTGCACCAAAAAACGCGATATATTTTTAGTCAGTTTTCCCGTTCCAAAATAAACAATATGGACTAATGTTGATAATTTAAACCCCTGGAATGTATACAGACAATAGTCCTATTCCCCCAATATCTATTATAAATTTAATTTTTCTTCTGTCTCAAAAATTGTTTGTCATCCATAGATTATTAAAAAAATTAATTTTTCTTCACTTTTTAAACAAATTTAAAACGCATTACTTTAAAAGTGAAATAATTTGACTAGATACTGTTTTATATTATAGGAAAATAATTTATAAATTATGATAATCATACAAATACACATATATATATATATATATACGTTTTTGAAAAATCAAGAAAAATCAATTTTTTTAATAAACTTTAGATGACCGTATCCTGGATAATTTTGAAGATAGAAAAATAAAATGTATACAAGTCAAAGTTGTTTAAAAAAAATATAGAAATTTAACATACATTGAAAATAGTTTATGTTGATTTTTGAATGAAATACACTATAACGTCTATAACAGTCGGAAAATTAAGTGCCGACGATTAATTATGTATAAGTTTCGTCGGTTAAGACGTGACTTTTAACGTAATTCAACGCCTAACGAATTACTAGCGGATATTTTTACAATTTAATTAGATTATTCATTTTGAAAAGTTATTATTTTACGTTAATTAGCAGCGTGACAAATTTATTATGTAAATGATGAGTACCTTATAGTTGGAAAACACGAAACCGTTCTGTTAAAAAAAAAATATGTAAGTACAAGTAATAAGAGGAGTACAACGCGATATTTCATTGTAACGATAAGTACAGTCATGCGAAAATATATATATTTTTATTTGTATGCTTAGTATAATAGCGAGGAATTTATTGGTTTTACAATGAAGTGTTTTTTCATTTTAAAAAATACACATTGTGTTTGATAATTCTAATTAATTATCCCCCTCCCCTCAAAGGTTCCACCTATAAGCTCGTATAAATTATTATGCTTCTACGATTGCAATAATTAAAATTTATTGTTCGAAACATTTTATGTCGGTATAATGCTATTCCGTCCGCAGTTACAATTGAATATTTTAATATTTTACAGTAATAAAATTATACAATGGTTACTCAATTAAGTTACTTATACCTACCATTTTCCACTTAAATATGAGTGCATCGTGATCAAAAGACATTTTCTGGGAACAATTAATAGTTATTTCTCTCAAATCATCTAACCTAATACAAAGCCGTAATTATACGTAAGGGATGTCGTATTCACATGACCCGCAGTTTTTTATCGGCAGTAATGTTTAACGTATTTCGTAAAAATTAATAAAAAATAAATAAATACTACGATTAATATTCGTCATTTTTTTCCTGTTAGAGTAATATTTAAAAAAATAAATAAACCTCATTAAGTCATAACGAATCTCCTATAAGACTGAACAATTAATTATTATACCTCTTCTAAATAAGCTGATTAATATTTTTAATAACAATAATTACATCGTTTTTACAAAGCTGTCCGAACTCGCAGTCGACTGTGATTAGTCGATAATATTTTTTTTTTAATAAAACATAGGTATTAATCACTATTGAGTTTATTATTATTGTTTAAACATATTTTTAACATTGATAAAACTAATTTTATTATTTTTAAACCTTTAAACATAGGTAGATATAAAATGTAAAAAATATAGAGCCATTACGATTTTGATATATATTTACCTATTTTATGGCAGAAATACAATTGAGAACAGTCATTATCGTCGATACCTTTTTTAGACCCTTTTGACTACTATTTATTACGATTGAGAACGCTCGGTTTTTATAATTCCACGCAACGTTGCCGAATATGTAATAATCTGAAAATTCAACCAATCAAAAATATATATATTTCTTGTATCGTAATAGAGTTTAATGATTACTTATTGTTTGAGATGACATATTACTGAATCCATCAATAATGATAATCTATA